AAGAGAATAAAATTGCGGCTTTTTTTCCCTCTCCGTCCTTGTCACTACCTTGTCTGTCCCCCAGAACATTCTTATTTCTCCCCAATGTCAATGAAGTTTGGTAGAAGGATGTCTCCTCTTGGTGTGCTGTCTTACTTCACTCAGCCTTATTTTCATCCCCTCTTCACTCATTCATCGACTTATCCAGGAGTTTCATTTCTTTAGAGAAACGAGTGGGTACACAGGCAATTCTCTTGGGAATTCTGATTAATTCACCATCTTGAACCACCTTTCTATTGGATTGTTGGATGTGACCATAGATGCCGATCACATGCTTCTTAGCTCCCCATGCAATGAAACTTAACACAGGGCCAAGCAGATTTCCCAGACAAGGTTTTTATTTTGGGGCTTGTGCTCAAGGGCAAGGGAAACAGTGGAGGCAAGATATGAGGATCCTCAAGCTGCCTCCCCACAAAAGCCAGTAGAGACTTTTTAATCACATAAAGCACTTTGAATTGATACAGGGGTAAGGTATGCAGGCTGGCCTGGGAGAAGCATGTCGGGGGAAGCGTATGCAGGTCCACAAGTCTGCCTGCGATGGTTATCTTGAGTAATGGGCCACCTGGTGGTCTGGCCAGTGGCAACAAGGCTGCTTACAAATCATTCTTTCCCAAGATTGGACACTGCACTTTGGTTTGGTATTTAGGTTTCCTAAGGCCAGTTTGTGGAATTCTTTAAGTAAAAGGCATAGTTAAACATTATAAGGGCACAGAAGAGTGGCTATTTTCTTTGTATGACTAAAGCCTTAGGGTTAGCATGGGTAACGTCAGTGAAGTAGTGATGTGGGTTTTGTGATCAGCAGGAATGTTTGAAAGAATGTTCCACCAGCGTGGGTGGTGGAGGCGGGAGAGGAAGCCAAGCCCCTCCCTTACTCTGTCTCATGCCCTTTCTATACTTGGTTTATTTCCTGTCTGTTGTTTTTAAATAAGCTACTCTCAATCCCCTAGATTGACTATGTCCTCTTTTTTTATTTGTTTGCTTTTTGAGATAGAGTCTAGCTCTGTCTCCCAGGCTGGAGGGCAGTGGCGTGATTTCGGCTCACTACAACCTCTGCCTCCCAGTTTCAAGTGATTCTCCTGCCTCAGCCTCCCGAGTAGCTGGGATTACAGGTTTGGGCCACTACACCCAGCTAATACATATAAATAAGCTCTCTCTCTCTATATAATATATATATAGCTAATATATATATATATATATATATATACACAAATACACACACACACACACACACACACACACACACACCCCAAATATATATATATTTGGTAGAGATGGGGTTTTACCATGTTGGCCAGACTGGTCTTGAACTGACCTCAAGTGATCTGCCTGCCTTGGCCTTTTAAACAGAGATATACGAAACCATAATTTATGGGTAGTATATTATAAACCAAAAAGTATCTGAGACAGATCTCAATCAATTGACTTATGTTTTTGAGACAGGTTCTTGCTCTGCCACCCAGTCTTGAGTGCAGTGGTACAATCTCAGTTAACTGCAACCTCTGCCTTCTGGGCTAAAGTGATTCTTCCACCTCAGCCTCCCGAGTAGCTGGGACTACATGTGTGCGCCACCATGTGCGCTCAGATAATTTTTAAATTTTTTGTAGAGACACGATCTCCCTATATTGCCTAGGCTTGTCTAGAACTCCTGGGCTCAAGCAGTCCTTCTACCTCAGCCTTCCAAAGTGCTAGAATTACAGGCATGAGCCATTATGTCTGGTCTTCATTCAGGTTAGAGGTTTATTTTGCCAAGCTTAACGACTGGCTGTGACACGGCCTCAGGAGGCCCTGAGAACATGTGCCCAAGGTGGTCAGGCTATAGCTTCTTTTGTATATATTTCAGGAGATATAAGACATCAATCAATATATGTAAGATGTACATTGATTTGTGTGGAACTTGAACTGGGGGCTTCTAGGTCACAGGTGGATCCAAAGATTTTCTGTTTGGCAATTGGTTGAAAAAATTTATCTAAAGACCTGGAATCAATAGAGGGCTCGGTGAAAGGGAAAAGGAAATGTGGACAAGGCAACGTCTATGTATGTCACAACTAAGGTGGATTCTGGTGCCACTCTATGATCATACTCAGAATTATGACAGTTAAGATGACCAGAATTCATATGTCATCTTCTATATATCATTGCATTAAAGCCAGCCACTTCCAGGCTGGCCAACACAGCAAGATTGAATCTCTACAAGAAATAAGAAAAACCTAACTGGGCGTGGTGGCTCTTGCCTATGGTCCTAGTTATTTGGGAGGCTGAGATGGGAGGATTGCTTGACTCGGGAGGCTGAGGCTGCACTGAGCCTTGATCCTGATTGTGCCACTGCACTCCAGCCTGGGCAAAATTGCAAAACCATGTCTCAGAAAAGAAAGCCACTTTCCTTTTCTTTCTACTTTTCTTCTCTAGGCCAGTCCATGCCAGTCTAGCTGCTGTCCCTGACTGGCAGCATAGGGAATGGTAGAGGCAGGGATTGCGTCCTTCCTAGGGAAGACAGGAGAGGATGGCTACCCATGCACAGGTGATCCTTTGCTTTCAAGGTTTACCTTTGAAGCCTACTGTCTTCTTTTTGAAACAGGGTCTCTGTGGCTCAGGCTGGAGTGCAGTGCCGCGATTACAGTTTACTGTAGCCATGACCTCCCACACTCAAGCGATTCTCCCACCTTAGCCTCCTGAGTAGTTGGTACTATAGGTGTGCACCACCATGGCTAGCTATTTATTTTTATTTTTAGTAGAGATGAGATTGGACTTTGTTGGTTTACAACTCTTGAGCTCAAGTAATCCTCTCGTCTTGGCCTTCTAGTGCTGGAATTATCAACCTGAGCCACTGTACCCAGTTTGAAACATCCTCTTCAGTAGGGGAAAATTATGTAGGTTTGTGGGGAACAGCTATCCTCTAGAAATAGGCTTTTTCAAGATCAAACTAAGATCAGAATTGTTAAAGTAGTATCGCAAAAGGAAAACTATTCTATTTAAGGAATGTCCTAACAGCTCAGATGAAGATGCCATTATTTAAATACTACCAGACTCTACATGTATTAGCAGTTCTTCTTTCTTTCGTTCAAGAAGGACATTAAACAACAATAAATGAATAAATGCTTGCTACCACACATCCAGGAATACTAGATAGAACTGTACATGTATAATAGGCAGAAAAATAGACCCCAAATATGTATATACCTTGATTTTTAGAACTTGTGAAAATTCTATGTTACATGGCAAAAGGGACTTTGCAAATGTAATTAGAATAGGAAAATTATACTGGATTATCCATGTGGGCCCAATCTAATCACTTGAGCTGTTAAAAGCAGAGATGTTCTATGGCTGGAGGCAGCAGAGAGATACAGCAAAAAAAGAAGTCGGAGAGACTATAAGTATGAGAAGAATTTGACATGTCATTGCTGGCTCTGAGATGCAAAAGGCTATTAGCAAGGAAGGGATAAAGATCTTTCAGAGCTGAAGGTGGTCTCTAGCTGATAGCCAACACAGAAATAGGGACCTACAACCCCAAGGAAATGAATTCTGCCAATAACCTGAATGGGCCTAGAAAGAGTCTTTCCACAGCCTCTGGATAAGAGCCCAGAGGGTTGACACTTTGATTTTGGCCTTGTGACGTTGGGAGCAGAGCAGTCAGCTGAGACAACCTGGCATTCTAATCTATAGAAACTGAGAGGTAAGACATTTTTGTTGTTTAAAGCTACTGTTTGTGGTAACCTGTTATGGTGGCAATAGAAAATTAATCACTGTATGAGAGGCTGCTGGACAGCAAATAGCTGTTTCAAAGAGCCACATTTATAATTTTCCATTTAGCCATATTTGAATGTTTTTTTGATAACATCGTGTGAATGTGTAGCCACATGACTCTTTAAATCAGCAAGTACCTCAGTTTTATATACTCTAGACCAGGGCATGACTGACTTTGTTTTTTATTCCCCTGAGGCTCCTCCAGCTGAATTTTGTTCACAGCTCTTTATCTCCATAAATAACTTAAAAAAAGCAAGACATTACATACATTCAGTATATATGCGATCATTAAGTATATAGCTTGATGAAGTTTTCATATGTAAATACCTGAGAACCACCACCCAGATCGAGATATAGAATATTTTCTTCACTTTGGTGGATGCTCCTGCAACCTTGATACTTTCATCTAGTCAATACTTGCCTCATTCAGAGTCATCCACTCTTCTGACTTACACCACCATTAGTTAGTCATGTCTGTTGGTGAAATTCACATAAATGGAATCATGCAGTGGGCACTTTTATGTCTGGCCTCCTTCACTCAACATACTGTTTTTGAAATTCACTCACATTGTGTAACCAGTTCATTCCTTTTAAAGCACTGTATAGCATTCCATTGTATGTCTAAACCTATATTGTTTATTTAGTCTCTCACTGATGGTTATTTGGGTTGTTTCCAGTCTTGAGCTTTAATGAATACAGTTGCCAAGTGTTTTCTTGTACATGTCTTTTTTTTTTCTTTTAATAAACTTTTTTGAGACAGAGTCTTGCTCTGTTGCCCAGGCTGGAGTGCAGTGGCACCGTCTTGGCTCACTGCAACCTTCACCTCCAGGTTCAAGTGATTCTCCTGACTCAGCCTCCCAAGTAGCTGGGATTATAGGCTTCCACCACCATGCCTGGCTAAATTTTTGTATTTTTAGTAGAGATGGGGTTTCGCCATGCTGGCCAGGCTGGTCTCGAACTTCTGAGCTCAGGTGATCCAGCCGCTTTGGCCTCTCAAAGTGCTGGGATTACAGGCATGAGCCACTGAGCCTGGCCTCTTGTACATGTCTTTTGGTGGATACATACACACATTTCTCATGGGAACATCCTTATGAATGGAATTTCTGAGTCTGCTCATAGGTAGATTAACCTATATTTTAAGTCAGGTTATTCGAAACACATAATTCAAAATTGGTGAATTATGTTTAGCCATTTCATGTCATATACTACTATTATTGTTAAAAAAATTTTTTTGGAACAATTCTTGAATTTGTGTGTAATCCTTGCATGCTAATCTTCTCTGTATTGTTCCAATTTTAGTATATATGCTGCCAAAGGGAGCACTTCATATGATATATTATTGATATAAATAATTAAAAAAAATTTTTTTGAGACAAAAATTCCCTGCTCTGTCACTCAGGCTGGAATGCAGTGGTGTGATCTCAGCTCACTGCAACTCTGCCTCCCAGGTTCAAGTCATTCTCCTGTCTCAGACTCCCAAGTAGCTGGGATTATAGGTGTGTGCCACCATGCCCAGCTAATTTTTTTTTAATGGAGTCTAGCACTGTTGCTTGGTCTGGAGTGCAATGGCGTGGTCTTAGTTCACTGCAACCTCTGCCTGTTGGGTTCAAGTGATTCTCCTGCCTCAGCCTCTCAAGTAGCTGGAATTACAGATGCCTGCCACCACACCTGGCTAATTTTTTGCATTTTTTAGTAGAGACAGGTTTCACTATGTTGGCCAGACTGGTCTTGAACTCCTGACATCAAGTGATCCGTTCACCTTGGCCTCCCAAAGTGCTGGGATTACAGGCCTGAACCACCACACCCAGCCAAAATCATTTTATTTATACAAATAAGCTAAGAACATATGGATATCATAATATAGGTATGTTGTCTGCATGCAGAGCTCTATTCTTTTGTGAAAGAGCACCCAGTAAGAAAATCTATTTATGATTTAAAACAAAGCACCTTTAGTATGGCTTTCTAAATTCTGAGAAATCAAGGAAAGGTTGATTTTTCAGAACTTAGAAAGCCATACTAAAGGTGATTCTGCATTTCTCTGTGTTATATTTAGCTTTACAGCATTTTCTGCTCTACTCAACTTAGTAAAGACTATACTTCCCATCTCACTATCTTTCTTCATCACTGGATATCATTCTCAGCATGAGGAGGCATCACATGAACATTCATGATTTCACTGAAGCAGCGACTTTCCCTTCCTTATCCCTGAGTACCCAGGAACCCAAACCTCTGTTTGGGAATAGACTTAAAAGTGTCTTGGCCATTGAAAAAGAGGGATTCTGTAATCCCAGCACTTTGGGAGGCCGAGGAGGGTGGATCATGAGGTCAACAGATCGAGACCATCCTGGTCAACATGGTGAAACCCCGTCTCTACTAAAAATACAAAAAATTAGCGGGGCATGGTGGTGCGCGCCTGTAATCCTAGCTACTTAGGAGGCTGAGGCAGGAGAATTGCCTGAACCCAGGAGGTGGAGGTTGCGGTGAGCCGAGATCGCGCCATTGCACTCCCGCCTGGGTAACAAGAGTGAAACTCCGTCTCAAAAAAAAGAAAAAGAGGGATTGCTTCTACATTGAAGAGTTTGAATGGGCATCTGAAAGGTCTTGCAGCACAACTCACAGGTAACACATGGGCAGCTGATGGTGGCTACACTGTAGTTATAAGATTGCAGTCAGAGTGGTTCTCCATCCAGGTAATGCAAGGTGTTCCCTCAGTTGGTCTCCTCCAGGCCTGGACCTAGCTCCCAAGCACTGACCATCCTGCCAGTGTCCTTTGGGCTTTCAGTATTGGCTCTGCAACTTTCCATGGGACCCACCAGAACCAGACCATTGTCTCTTGTCCCACCCTCTCACCATCTCTACTTTCTTTATAATTCTTCTGGTATCATAGACGCTCTGAGTGTTACTTCCCTTAAACGTTCCCTTTTGATTCTTTGACAATATTCAGGAATCTAAAATAAACATTGCTTTCTCTTTTCAAGGTAATGTGGGTGACTCTGTTGACTTGGGGGAAGAGTTTGTGAAGGGGAAGAAAACATACATATTGTTATTTCAATTATGCCATTTATTCCTTAGAAGTCTCCAGAGACACTGAATCAATAGTATGTATATACATTGTAAAGCATTGGTGAGCACAATTGTGGAGGCTGGCAAGTCCAAAATCTGCAGTATGGGCCAGGAGACTTTAGACCCAGAAGAGCTGATGGTGCATTTCCATCCCAAGACAGTCTGCTAGGATGTCTTTCTTGACTGGGGTGACCAATCTTTTTGTTGTTCTTAGGCTTTCAACTCATTGAATGAGGCCCACCCATATTATGGAAGGCAATCTGCTTTACTCAAAGTTTACTGATTTAAATGTTAATCTCATCCAAAAATACCCTCCAAATTGACATATACAACTATCACATGTAATTACACTCATGATCTCCAGGAGCACACTGTGGCTAATTTGGCATCTATCTAGTGCAAGATTTCTCATTTTAGGGGAAAGACAATGCATTGTGGATTAAGATGATCTGTCCCAGTGATCTTGGAATTTGAATCCCAGCTGTGTCATTTGGAAAAACCTTTAACTTCAGTCATCACAGAGTTGCAGTTCTCAACTGGGGCAATTTGTCCTTCCCCCTATGTCCCCAGAAGACATTTGATAACATCTGAAAACCAGGGTAGGGGTGGGAGGAGTTGTTACTGGCATCTCTGGTGGGCACAGCTCAGGGGCGCTAACATCCTGTGATGCATATAACAGCCCCACAACAAACAATCACCAGGCCCCAAATATCAGTACTGTTGGGGTTGTGAAACCTTGCATTAGCGGCAAACAGACAATGCTAGGATATAAAAAGTTGGGCATCAATGGAACATGGAAGGGTCATCAGGCAAAGAAAACAACAACAACAACAACAACAATAAAATGATGCTCAGATTTCAAAAGCAAGTGTGTAAATACCTGATCTTACAGTTTTTGCCAATTTCTAAATAGAATATTGGGAAGGTGATATTTTAAGGTGAAAAATGCATTATTGGAGGCTATGCTATGCTTTGGAGAAAAGAGAGCAGACCTCAGGTTAGCAGGAACATAAATGTGTTAGCATTTTATTGTATTTCCCCCTTGTGTCATTGGCTCACAGGATTTTGCAAAGGTTTGAAGGTCTGGGATGGAATGGTGAAGATGACTTCACTGTGAGCCAGTGCTGTGGTTCAAATGAGGGGGATGAACTGTGGCTGAGAAACCTAAGAGAATATTTTTGTAAGAAGAGGTAGAAGGATAAATATATGATTTACCAAATGCCTTTAAGTAATAGATTACTATTTTGTTAGCTCATAATTTATTCTGGCAGTCTGTTTAACCATATGCACAGTCTCCTGAATATGATTTAAATGTTAAGTCCTAATTACAAAACTCTAATTCAAAACAATTTTAAGTAAGGCTGTTGAAAATTAATGCGAATGCAAATAATGAAGTCACTCTCATTAGGGAAATACACATTTATTTTAATTTCGGGCCTCTCTGAACTAATATCAAGTAGAATTATATAAAAAATAAAATGATCAAAACTTTTGAGAGATTATATTCCGCCAACTTAAGTTATCCAGGAATAGGTAACATCTACATAACCTCTTCATTAACAATTTTGAAATAATTTAACGATATATAGATTATTAAGGACCTTCTAAACTTTTAGAACTGATTTTGTTGGCTTCATTAGCTCCTCACAGGCTTTCTTTGTATGTATTGATTTATTGGAATCAACTAAGTTGGTCAGTGTGCTGTGAGGGTCACTACACATGCCCGTTTGTTTAAATTAATCAGTCTTTAAAAAGAAAAAAGACAATCTAATTTTACCAACTGAATCCAGGAGAAAAATGAACACATCAAAGCAAGTGTGAAATTCTTTCCAGTTGGCATGCACAGAGAATGTAGCTAATAATAACCTCGAGTTTTCTGTCAAGCAGGTCAGTATATCTCTTTATCCATTATAGTCAAGATTGTAGCATTCATCCAATCATTATTCATTCACTTACCATTTATTGAAACCTTAAATTTGTGCTCAGTGAGTGCACTGTGAATGGGGATAAAGAGACAACTAAGACCCTGATCATTGTCTGGTGGCACAAATTGACATTACAAAGTGCAATGGTACATGCATTCTGTGAGACAGAAATTCGTGGAGGAGAGCTGGAGAAGATTCACCTGACAGGTAGCCTGGGACATAAAGAGTCGGCCTAGAAAGCCCTAAGGACATTAGGATTTATTTTGAGAGATGATGGTTGCTTAGTTAGGGTGACAGCAGGTGGTGATGAAAAGAAGTCTTATTCTAAATATATTCTAAAGGTAGAGCTAACAAATTTTGTGGTATGAAATCAAAGAGAACAGTTTAGATAGGCTTTAAAGATTTTGGAGCCAAGTACAATGGCACATGTCTGTAATCCCAGAACTCTGAGAGGCTGAGGTGGGTGGATGACTTGAACCAGCCGGGGCAACCTGACAAAACCCTGTCGCTACAAAAAAATACTAAAATTAGCCAGGCATAATGGTGTGTGCCTGTAGTCCAAGCTACTTGGGAGTTTGAGGTGGAAGGATCGCCTGAATCCAGGGAGGTTGAGGCTGCAGTGAGACAAGATTGCACCACTGTACTCCAGCCTGGGTGACAGAGTGACACCCTGACTCCAAAAGAGTCTAGGTAGTAGTCAAGAACCCATTGGGCAGTTTCAGGAACATGGAGCAGTGGACAAAAATAGGATGCTTAAAGCCACTGTAAATATTCATGGTGATAAGGAAGTTGAGAGCAATCTGATCCTGGCACTGGCACTGGCAGCAAAGAAGGTTGGAGCACCAGTGCAAACACAGTTAGAAAATGCACAGAGAAATCAAATTAAAACAGTTAAAATTAAGATATATATATATATGTTTAAAATATGGAGCTTGTGATTGAGGAAATATAAGTGAATCTTCAACATGATGCCTCTTGTAGCCATTACCTTTGCAATGATATTTAAAAATCAGACACACTTCAAAGGAAAAAAATCACAAGAAATCTTGCAGCGAAATAGAAGAACACTGTAGATAGAGACAATTCCATAAAAAACTCAGTTCCTTAGCAAAGAATAACTTGCTTGATGGTCTTTTCAAGGTTAAATAATTAGAGGTCCTGCTTCTTGCTATGAAGCTTTGAAAAGCTTATGTTGAATGCAGTCTCCATCTTAGGAAAAAAGAGGAGGGAAATAAAAATGCCCTCACAGAAAGGTATATTTTTAATTGACTAAATATTTCCATGAAAGAGAGTGTTTTAAGCAAGAAAATGTGAATTAGGTTTAATCAGCAAATT